CATTCCCATTTGGAGGGAAACCAAGCTGCTGAATCCCAGTCATCCTGGTTTCCTTTGGTAAGCCGTAACGTACAGTCACTGTTGCTTTACATTTATTATGCACAGAGTAATGAAAACTCCATTACTTCACAACTACTTTTAATATGATTTTCTAGCATGTTTGCTCAAAGAAAGTGTGTTACATATCTGTTGCGCTTCATCTCAGTTAAGGTATTCCTTCAAAAACCTTAACAATACTCAGCATGGAAGGGAGGACCATGTCAGAGAAGTCACAACTTTAAAAGAGAAGGTTAATCTTTTTTCATTATTATGTACATGCCATTTCATGTCAATGTGTTTCTGCTCTAAAAAAATTCATTCAGAACTTTAGATAATACATAAATAATTCATCTTAATCTTAAAACCAATACGCACAACATGAAACTACAACAACAAAAAATAAACAATATGAGTTTACATAAATTTGTGTTTAGACCTGCATGTTTCTCTTCTGGTGTTCTTTAGCAGTGCGAGTCCAAACATCTTCTCAAGTCTGTCATTAATAATCAAGGGTCTGACAAAGAGCTGACTGAACTAAGAGGAGAGAATGAGCAGGTAAGAAGTACAAATAAATAACGTCTTTATATATATTATTATATTTCATGCTGTCACTGTGCATTCCAGATCAATTTCCAGGTCAAGAATTCCCTCATCATAAGAGTCTATGACAGCTGGTCTGTTCACTCAAAGCAGTGGTAGAAAACCTTGCATAATTAGGAATTTTGATTTCTCACAATTAGTGAAACAGCAGCTCAGGTGCCTTTGTAATCTTATCACATTCAACCCCTGTTTTATTTTCAGTTGGTGGAGAATAAATAGAAATAATTTTACTTTGTGTAGATTATTTTGTTACATTGTAAGTACTTGGAAGGTGTATATCTTATGTCTGTTTCAAGTTACCCTCTGACTTCTGTTTGACCTTTGTTCCTTATGTGCACCATAATCATCACCCCTGCGCTGTTTTACTATTTCAATATTTCAAGATTCAGACACCTGCAGATTTTTATAGTCCTGCATGTGTCTGTGTGCCTGTCTCTACGTAAAACTGGATTAATGCTGTAGACATTGTGCCAGTGTCAAGGCCCCCGTTGAGCAGTGTCACACCTGTGCCATAAAAATACAGATATACAGATACAGATATGTCATGTATAGTTTTAAAATTTCAAGATTCTCTAGTTTTCATTAATTTGACCCACACTGGTGGATCTAATATCCATCTAAGGAGATACAGGTCAACTTGTTGCATCTGTAAAACAAGTATAGCTTTAAAAATATTTTCATTTTTGTGTATTTTGGGTCACTATTTGAAAGTTATCAAATTTTATTATAAAATAGAATGACAATGAAGGTATTGTTACTGCTGTCA